CCCCAAAACCCCAAAACCCCAAAACCCCATCAGTATAACTTGACTTTTTTAGGAGAAATATATTCAAAGATAAATATATATAAACTTTTTTCATAATTTAATGGACTATAAAGAAAGCAAGCTTCTAAGGTGAGTTTAATTGGCTTTAATTTCCAAAATTTATTTTAGAAAGCACTACAGAGACATTACTTTTGACACTCTGAAAAACAGACACGATAATTTCTTCTTTGAAAAGGTGTTGCAAACTAAGAATCAGATTTATGATACAATGCATTTCAAGGGAATTTTGAAAAATCCGAATACACCGAAACTGATACTTTTTTAGAAGTTAGGGTAGCCACATACCAATAGAGATTTTTCCTATGATTAGTATCAGATGAATTTCTCAGATACTAGATTCTTTAGAGATTTCAAGAACAAAATTGAATCTGAATTCGATAAGGAATCCATGATAATGCAAACAACCAATAATAACTACAATAAAAGAAATCAAGAGAGTGAGGGGAAGTTATGGCGAGAATTCCACAGTCATTTTAATAGACGTACCCGAGACAAGGGTTTAATGAATCATCACGATTTCCTAGATTTACCTTCAATCAATTATCATGGGAATTCTGAAGAGAAGTCTATTCTGTTAAAGCAGTAGTAAAATTATACAGAGGGTTATTTGCTTGATCAGGAAAGATAAATTAATTAAAGGAAGAACCTGGAACAAATGAAGTTAAAAAGTATTTAAATCCCACTGAATTCTAAGTTTTAAACCCACAGAAAGAAGTTCAATAAAAGCCATTTTGATGTCCCACTATATTAAGCGAAAAAGATGAATTAGTCATTAGTAGAAGATACTAGTGAGAAGCAAAAAAATAGTCAGCCGACCAAAGTTCAAATAAGACGTTAAATGTTGATGAATCAAGAAGAGAAATCAAGATAAAGTCTAAGCAAGCACTTCATTTACATAATTGTGGATGGATGTAACATTTATGATCAAGACACTTAAGCTTACTTCGTTGACATTAATGAAAGATTAGCTTTAATGGTTCCAGAGAAGATATGGCAATTGAAAACTGCTGAAAAATTGAACATTTATGAAAAGTTAAATCTATCTGCTCCTGCTTATATTCTCTAAAAATAGAATCTGAATGAGTTCTTATAGGATCTTAGTCAAATATTCAAGCAACAGTTTAGAGCATTATTTACTCTACATGGGCAAAGAATTACCTCTCTTGTTTAAGTACCACTTTAAGCCAAAATATTAGTAGCATCTATTAGCAAGGTATTCATTAGTGTTCTTGGAATAGATAACCTTGAGAATCAACTAAATACTAAATCTCATAGATCAAGTCACTAGAGTAGACTGATGTAAATCCGAAGAGAAAACTCAGATGAAAAGCATACCTCAATGCATTCATGGGTCTAAGGAGCATGCATTGAATGGGTAAGAAAGAATGATAAGTTCATGAATGATAGTGTGATTCTATAGAATAATAAGAACATCTAATTTGAGTCAGCTGAAGTTTCAATGGAAGAGCATAATGAAAGCAAGCCAAGATTCAATTTCAAACCAGGTCCAAATAGTACCCAGAGATTTTAACTAGGAAGACCGAGGCCAAGTGAAATCAGTCCTAGAAATAAGCCCTCATTTATTATGTCTGAACTTTATGATCTCTGGAGTGAAATATTTATACATGACTAGCTGGAAGATGAAATTGTCAAACTTATATTCTAAAAGATTGATCATGTAAAGGAACTAGAGTAGTAAAAGGTAACTAAGAATATCATGGAAGAGTATAAATCAAGCGGTACCAGATTTTCCTCTAATGCTGCTAGATTGAATTCATCTCTTGGGGGTTAATAAAAGCAATCTCCCACAGATCCTAACAATAGCTTTACAAAGATAACATAGAGAATTTTCCAAAGAGCTTTGAATAGTACATAGACTAGAATAAATCCTAGAGAAGACCTTAATTCATCAATAATGACATTTTAAGATATCACTAAGAATAGAGCTACCTTTATGAATAGATCAAAAGTTAATGATTCAAGTATAGATTAATCTATTGATGCTTCAATTGGTAATAACTAGCCAACAACAAATTTTAACTAAAGCGTAATGTCAATGAGAAGAACTTCAAAGGTTAACACCGGAGGACTTGTCTCAGTTAATCCAAACGGATATATTCCTTAAACTGCACCTGTTACAGTCTAAACTATTAGTATTCATAACAATGATGATAAAATGCTTAAAAATGAAGAAATTAAGAGAATTTGCGAGAAGCATAGACTTACTAGGAAAGAGGTCTATGACATAAGGAGTTAATTTGTATCAATGTGTATTCTATCAAAAGAAGACGAATAAAACCCAGACAAGGAACAATCAATTTTGTTCCCGACTGGCCAGTCTAACACTAGTAGAATGGGTCAGTACACAGCCCTTCTAAACAAAGGCAATAAATAAGAACAGGAAGGCATTCTAATCAATTATTTTGTTAAAAATTGCAGTTTCCTTTCAGGCACTCTTCCTCACATTTGCAAGCGTATACTTGTTGCTATAGGTAACTTATATAATATTTAATATCTCATTTCTATAGGTCTTGATATAGAGAATGCTCATGCCTAAGTCAATTGGCCTACATTCCTAGAACTTTATTGTATATTTGAGGCTGGGAGAATCGAAAGGAGCCTATTAGCAAAGTTTTGGATTAAGTTTTTCGACTAGAAGTTAATGGGATAAGTGAGCGAGACTGAATACCTGACTATCCTTGAGGAACTAGTTAGAGGAAATTCCTTTAAGAAACCTAACAAGACTACAAAGATGTTTGCCAAGATGTTCCAAAAAGTACTTAGGGATGCTGGATGTCTTGGTGACAACAATGAAATAATTGATGAGAAATTCAATCATGCATTGACAGATGACTTGATTGATATTCAAATTCTATGTAGCGCCCTTGGAAGATAGTAATTAGACGAAAACTTTATGAAAACAAAGTTATGAGTCTTGAAAGTAAACAACTACATGCTAGCGACCCTATAAGATAGCTATTATTGATTTACCTTATCTTATTATTTTCTTTATTTTATTTCAATACTTTAATTCTGTATTCCACCCTGCGGGGTTTTGGGGTTTTGGGGTTTTGGGGTTTTGGGG